AGCAAGTTTAGCGCTGCTGCAAGCCTGCCAGTGCAAGCAAACTCAGCGTGGTGAGTATGGTTCGAGCGGAACTGCCCAAAATGGCTGCAGGAAGCACGTTGCAAGCAAAAGGGTGTGGCGATGGATTCGCGAAAGAGTGTTTCTCGCGAAGAGGGTGTTTTCCGGAAACAGGAATATTGATCAACTGCCATATGTGCATATAATAATTTTTATATATATGTATATATATTTGCGTATATTATTTCTATATATGTTGGCAAAATGCTTGGGGGGCCCCCTACAAGTGTACCACACTTGGCCCAAACAAAAGTGTCAGACCTTCAAGCCACGCCGGAGGCACCTGGGCACAGAAGTCTACAGCCAGTACCAGACCTGGTCCAAGCTGGAGCAAGGCCCTGCGAGTTGTTTTTCCGATTGATCGACTAGCGGCCCAACCTGCATGTCCTTGTCCCCTGAAATGTCAATCGAGTTTCGCGATAAGGTGACCACATGAAAGGCGAGCCCATCAGCTTTCTTCCTTTGCCACGCGTGCTGTTTGATGCGGGGGAGGGGAGCATCCAGTGGCGAATGCGGCTTGATATTGTTTGCTTGCCGTGCTTTTCTCTGGTTTCAGTATGTGTGAGGAGTAAGTGGGAGATCCTTCGTGGATGAATTATCAGGACACCAAACATTGTAAAGCCAACCCTTCAGACCGGTCCCGATCCTGTCTGAAAAGCTTGGGCTTGGAGTGAGCCTCTCTGGCAGGCGATGGCATGTTGATCAAGCGCAAGAAGCTCGCCCTGCGCTCAGTCCGTGATGCGACAGTGAGACAAAATCGGCACATGTTGGCACCTCGAATCAAAGGACTGACATCTACTGCAGTTGGCAAATCACATTCTGCCAAATATAGCTTTAGACGGTGCACTGACTGTGCGTTGCAGAGCCATTTTGGTATTTTTCGTTTGGTTGGCTGAAGCAAAGGACCCCGCAAAACGAGGCAAGCAAATGTGTAGGATTTTGCTTGAGACTGGTTGATCGCAAATCTCAGTGAGTCTTGCACAGCTTGTTCTAGACGTATGTTTCTGTTGATGAGGTATGATCATGCCATGCAAAGCCAGGGAGCACCCAAACAAAGCTGACAGAATTGTATTTACTGTAAGTGAATCCTGATTATTTGTTGGTTTGTTTGTTTGTTTGTCCGTCAGTTTGTTTGTTTCTGTTCTTGGGCAAATTGTTTGACATTTGCAGCCGTTTGATACAACCAATGTTGAATGAAGTCAGTGTGGCAGGAAGACACCGAGAAAGAGAGAGTGCCCAGGCTTCGCAGGAAGTGATCATGCGTGTGAGGAGGCAGTATGAGGAGTAGCAGCCGTGGTTGTGTTTGTACGTGTTTGTGCTTCCGAACCTATGCCGTTTCCTAGATTTGAGCGTCCTTCACCGTCAACATCAGTTTGTGACAGGGTCTCATAAGCTAAGGTTATTTCGAGACAATCAAGGAACTTTCGGTGGTGTTTGTCTCATTTTGCGACAAGCCCGTGCTTCAAACAGGCTGAGGCTGCCAAGAGGATTCACAGGAATTCATGCTGCGTGAGATGGTCCGAATCAAAACGGCTGGCTTTGGGCATACCAATACAGCCATTTTTTACATAGTTGAAACACACGTGGCTGTCTGTGCTGAATGCATTCTTCGCCACGGCAGTGTTGCAGGACTACTACTCGGCCATGCGAACGCCTGGTCTCCCGGGGGCCCAGTTCCAGCCAGGGCCCCAGCGGACAGCGGGGGTTCCGATGAGGGGAAGTGGGCCCTGGTTGCTTATTCAATGAATCATCACCAAGGCACCCCGTCTTCTCGGCGACCCTAAGGGCTTGACTAATAATTGGAGTATCTTTCCGTTTTTGCCTTTCATTCCGACCCTCTGGAAAGGGCAAGGGTCCCGAGGTTCGCCCCCTTGGTATGGTAGACATAATACCGGAGTGTGTGAGTGACATTAAAATCATATGCGCCCTCTAAGAGCATAGATGGTGCATCACGGTCAGCATGTATGTTTTTACCAGACATTTTGATCCCCAGCCTTGCGCCCGACACGAGGCCTCATACACCAGCAGGACTGGGAGTGGCGGTCTGCAGCTCAGTCATTGGTTTACCTGGCAGTTCCAGCCATGAACTTTTGGAGCAAACTTTAGAGTTTCTTCCATTTGCTGAATTGAATACAGCATCTTTTATTTGTCCTTGTTGCTTTTAAAGGGAATCCATCACTACTGGAAATATGTTTGCTTTTTTCTAGGGGGCTTAAGCAAATGCAAGGTTTAGAGTTGGATGTATGGCGTAACCCTGTAAAAGGGCAACTGCTAAGGGATCGCCTTGAAGGTTCCCCAAAGACTTGTAAAGGGCACTTGATTTCTTGAAGACTTTAATAATTCAGCATGGTTTCCCCGGCTTCCAAGAACTTATGACTGCTGCCCAATAGTAGATCATGGTGGCGTACTGGGCCGGCGCATCCAGATCTCCACGTTCTGCGGCTTCCCAAAGGTACGGGCTTAGTTTGTCCGACGCCTTTCGGGGAACAAAGGGTAAGTCTTGGCTTTCCTGGGCATCATTGTCTTGCAGTGTTCAACATCACTATAAGTGGCAGGCAGGTGACCCACCGTTCAAGGCAGGGATATCTTCATGCAATGCAAATTCATAGGGCTCTATGTGCAGAAGAAAGAGTTAGCATGTGGAAAGCTTCGAGGCATACCTGTAAAGACTGTAAAGAAGCTAAATGATGCTAAATGGACTACATCTAGAGTTTCCCACTGTATCCTAAAGTCACGGGTGAGCAAGCACACAGAACCACCGGCGGTTTTTTCCGCCGGGCGTCCGTTTGGTTCTGAGGCGATGACTCCAGGCTTTGGGGCTGCCATGACACCAGGCGCTTGGGAGATGGCTGGTGGTGTTTGTCGTGCGAAAAGTGCCGAGCATTTGTTTGTTTTGTTCGTGGCAGGTTCTTTTTGTTGGAGCCCCTAGAATAGGGTTCCCTTTAAAACCAGCCCAACAAGGCTGCCCTCAAAGAAAAGAAAACACCCGTATGAATGGGCCGGGCTGAATCAAGATGTCCTGGCGGAAACGTACCCTCATGCTGTTCGATCTGCAAGTGCCAGATATCGACTTTTGCACATTACCTGGTCTACGCGCGACGCACTAGAGTATGCAATTTGCGGATTACGCATTACGCGTTGCACGGATTTTCGATGCTCCAGCAGAGGACTTTAACCCACAATTTGCAGCACTGACTGCGAAATAAGGAGCTTACCCACCAGAGCAAGGATCACGCGGATTCCGGATTGTGCCCAGTTAGGCCCCCCCGGGATTTCGAACAGACTGGTTAGAGAAACCAAGATGCAGGATGAGGTTTCAAAGCATAGTTTGGGAGGTTGTCGGAGAATCCCCCTCTGCGCCTTCATGTCTCCCAGATGTTGTCCAAGATTGTACCATTACTTTGACCCCTACTCCCTTTGTTTCTAGCCTCGCGGTGTGTTCTGTGTTGTGTTTGCTACGATTGATTTGAGCTATGGTCGATATTTACTGCCACCTACTGTAGCACTGTAGCAAAGGGGATGACATGGATCAAGCTCACCCCGTAGTGTCAGGTTGCATTGGATATCGTTATTTGTTTTCCAGAAGCTTCTTGATGAGCTATTACGACCCTCCTTTCGTAAAAACATATCCAGCCCTGAACTGCCTCATTCAGGCTCTGTTCAGGCTATGAAATGTGCCAGGTCTTGCCCCAGGAACGCCGGGCATGGGGTGCGGAGGCCAAGCTAGCAGTTTAAGCCCATGGGAGGCTATCTGGATATGGGCTGAAGGCTTTCCAGCATCTGCTTTTGCCTGCTTTTGCCTGCTTGCTTGCTTGCTTGCTTGCTTGCTTGCTTGCTTGCTTGCTTGCTTGCTTGCTTGCTTGCTTGCTGAGGTGTTTCTTTGGCTTTTGTTTTGCTTGGTGGATGCTTTGATGCTTGAGATGCCTGGGATCCCGCCTCGTGCCTACCGCTTGTTTGCATTGCCGTGCCGTGCTGGTTCTGGTCGTGCCGGGGTCGCTTGCAGGCTTGCTAGCATGTTTCTTGTTCGTCCCACGGAGCTGGCGCATGAAGGAAGAGTTGGGGACTAGGCCAACGGAGCAGAGCCAACCGGCAAACTTTCCAAGGGAATGACACTTGGAGGCAGACAACTCCACCTGAGGCAAAAACGAGCCGCACACACAGAAGCTTCCTCTTTTCTTGAGTGCTATTGGGTTGGATCTTGAGGCTTTAGCTCTTCGGGACATCAAGGGTTGTTCATTGAGCCCACAAAAAGTTATGCAATTTGTGCAGAGGGCTTCAACAGCAACCAAGGCTTGGGAGGCATTTCCACTGCTTCAGTTTGACAGTCCTCACCCTGTACCCGGCCACCCCAGCACCTTTCATCCTGAGGGCTGTCACCCCGGGTGTGCGCGCACCCACGCCCAACTGGCAGCCACCTGGGCGGGAGACAGGGAGGGGGGTTCGACGGGCCAGGGGTGTCCAGAGGGTTCAAATATGTTTTTGTTTGGAGCGATTTGGAGGGTGCCCTTTTTGGTTTGCTTTCAAACCAAGAGGAACCAACCAATTTTTGGGGGTTCCCTAAAAAACAAAAAAAAAAACAATATGGATCGTTTCAATAGGAACCGTTCGATTTGCCCCATCTTGATTTACGTTAAATGGAAGTTAAGATGACACCAGCCATATGGACACGGTCCCCCTGGTGTGGCAGAGTCTGGATATGGGTTACAGACCTCTTGCATCTTGGCCTGTCGGCAGACAAGGGTAACAAAGCCTAGGTTTGGAACAATACCCAGCTTTGATAAACTAGCGGGCAACATGCTTGCTGGTTCCCAGCAGGGAGTCGGGGAATGACCCCTATACACCATTGCTGATTGTTTCCTTCAAAGGGAGTCCCAAAACGCTTCACTTCCAACACCCAGGGCATAAACATGAGTTTTTTTCAAGACGGGGAATCGCTCCGAGAAAAACATCAAAAAACAAAAACACACACACACACATCAGAATACCGCCCTTTGCAACGAAAGGGATCCATGAGCAACCATGCAGAGGCGGTGCTATTTTCCGTATCGCCTGCGAAGGAGGGATGCCCTGCCCCCCCCTGGATTGTTGACTGAAGGCAAAACCAAAGGAGAGCCAAGCATTTGGAACCGGTGTTCCCAGTTCACACCCTTTCTGTGTTGAATAGAACGCACCATTCGCTACTTGTTACCATTTTTTTGTTGGATAGTATTCCTTTGCATCCAGGACATTGGGGACTTGGACATTGAACCTTCAAAGAGTCTCGCTACCGCAGCCATGCAAATGTTTGTATCATGGCATCATATCATATGAAAAGTAATTTACCAATCATGCAAAGTAAGAACAAAGCACACCCAAGTATCATTATATATCCTTGTATCACTATATACAAGTAATTAAGTAATTACCAAGAATGCAAGAATCCGACTCTGATTGCTACTCGTCTACAGCTAGTTTTTCGACCAGTGGGCTAGCAGGCATCACCAGCCATAGGGCTTCAATCCTGGGTTGGGGTGACCCTGCAGGTTCCACGAGGGTTTCAGGGAAGTTCCAAGGAGGTTCCAGGGATATTTGGGATCCTAAAAGCAAACATGAAGCCTGAAGGAGGGGCGCCTATAGGAAGTTTTCTTCGGGGCCCTTTGTTCAGGTTCCACGCTTTTGGGAGGGCGGTTCTCGGGTTATTCTTCTGCCAGGCTCACGCCAGTCTACAAGGAAAGCGAGGGCAACACTCCGCAGTGGCGCGGTACCCGTCGATTCGATTCGACACGATCGGTTCGCATTTAACTTCAGGTCCCGAGATCCAAAAAGAACCTCGCCTGGCAGAAAGGGACCAACCGCCTGGTTTTGGGGTGCTGGGTGAAAGCGGATGGCACAATTTCCCCATTTTGCCTCAGTCTGACAGTCATCGCCATTGCTTGCCCAAAGGAGTTGTGCCATCTAGTTTGACGCTGGAGGGAGCCTGTTTTTCAATGTGTTGTAAATCCGCAAGGAACCACCTGGCAAAAGGGCCCACATAATTGTGAAGAGCGCCCAAATGACCATCACCAACACACTCACAAACTCACCAACCCACACACGCACACACACTCACCAACACACAGACACACACTCTCACCAACACACACACACACATACACACCGTCACCAACACACAGACACACACTCTCACCAGCACACACACACACTCACCAACACACACACAGACTCACCAAACACACACACACACACTCACCAACACACACACACACACACTTACCAACACACACACACACTCACCAACACACACACACACACACACTCACCAACACACTGCACAAACACACACACACACAAACACACACACACACACACACACACACACACACACACACACACACACACACACACACACACACACACACACACAATGCACACAATACACACAATACACACAATAGACACACACAACACACACACACCGCAACACACGCACACAACACACGCACAACACACGCACACACAACACACGCACACACCCACAAAACGCGCCCACAATACGCGCACACAACACACACACACACACTCACCAACACACACACACTCACCAACACACACACACTCACCAGCACACACACACACACACTCACCAACACACACACACACACTCACCAACCACACACACACACTCACCAACACACACACACACTCACCAACACACACACACACACACTCACCAACACACACACACACACTCACCAACACACCGCACAAACACACACACTACATTACACACAACACACACACACGACACACACACACACAACACACGCACACAACACACGCACAACACACGCGCACACAACGCACACACACACACCCACAAAACGCGCACACAACACGCGCACACAACACACACACACACACTCACCAACACACACACACACACACTCACCAGCACACACACACACACAACACTCACCAACACACACACAACACACACACAACAGACACACACAACACACACACTCACCAACACACACACACACACAACACACACAGCACACGTACAACACATACAACACACACAACACACACACACAGCACACACAGCACACACACAACACACACACAGCACACACCCAACACAGACACACACAACACACGCACAACACACGCACACACAACACAAGCACACACACACACACAACACGCGCACAGACACACACAACACACACATCACACACACACAAAACACACACACACAGAACACACACAAACACAACACACACACAACACACACAAACAACACGCGCACCCAACACACACAACAACACACAACAAACACAACAGACAGACTCAACACACACACACACAACACACACACAACACAAAACACACACAACAAACACACACAACAAACACAACACACACACAACACACACAGCACAACACACAACACACACACACAACACACAACACACACACAAAACACACAACACACAGACACAACAAAGAGACACATAGACACAACACACACACACACAACACACACTCACAACGCACACACACGCACACACCACACACTCACAACGCACACACGCACACAACTCACACACAACACACACACACAAAACACACGCACACACAAAACACACGCACACACACAACACACACACAACACACGCAAAAAAACAACACACACACACAACACATACACACAACACACGCAAAAAAAAACAACACACACACACAACACATACACACAACACACACACACCCAACACACACAACACACACACACAACACACACAACACACACAACACACACAAGCAACACGCGCACACAACACACACAACACACACACACACACCCAACACACACACAATACACACAAACAACACGCGCACACAACACACACACACAACACTCACACACACACAACACACAACACACACACAACACACACACACCACACACACAACACACACACACAACACACAGACACGCAGACACAACACACACACAACACACACACACAACACACAGCACACACACACAACACACACACACAACACACACAACACACACACCACACACACAACACACACACAGCGCACACAACACACACACAGCACACACAACACATACACAACACACACACACACCACACACACAGACAACACACACACAACACACACACAACACACACACACAACACACACACACAACACACACACACAACACACACACAAATAAACACACAGCACACACAACACACAACACACACAAAACACACACACAACACACACACACAACACAACACACACACACACACCGCACACACACCCCACTCATACACACAGAACACACACACACAACACACAGGCGCGAAAAAAAAGAGTTTTGATCATTGCTAAAGTAGGGCTTGTTGAAGTTACTGTTTGATGCTTGCATGTTCGACCTTTTTCTTTCAGGGAGGCCTTGTTAGGATGAAGGAATCACTGGGAAGCCCATTCTGGTTTGGACTTGTGTTGGCAATCCACCAAAAAAGTGCGTTCTGGGAAGCGGCCGTGGAACATGAGGCGATGTGGCCAACTGACATGTACTGGAAGTCGATGAGGGCTCTAGTTGACAAACTTGAAGTTGGCAGCGTAAACAAACCTTCGATGTCAACAATTAAAAGGGTTCAACAATTGAAGCAGCTGGACCAGTCATCTAATGGATGAGGCGTCATTGTTGCGAGCCGAGAGGCTTGACACACATGTCAATGGTGGTCCAAGTCCATCCTGGTCCGTTTCTAGTCTGAAGGATAATTTTGACGTTGGGCTCTTTGCTGTGAACCAATCGGAAATGGATCTGGGATTCTTGGGAGTTTGGCGCTCGACGTGGATCGTAAATCAGAGGCTCAGAACTTGCTCGAACCGACTTCAATTTGTGGGATTGCCCGACTCACGTGCAACGCAGGCGTCCGCCTGCCACACCTTTGCCGGATGCCCAGGCTTAGCATCAGGTCTTGATCTCAGGTGCGAACTAGCCCACAAGTTTTAGATGTGTCCCGCGTGCGGTTTGAGTCGTTGGATGGACCGGTGGGTAGGTCAATTTGAAACCCTTAGCGGCCCGATATAAGAGCATATTTCATATGTACATATGAATACATATTAATTCAGAGGATGGTCAGTTTGTGCTTCTCCATGGGGGAGGGGGAGGAAAAATTATGGCATTGATCATCGTAGCTCAACTTTGTTGAAGGTGCGACAGAGATTGCTTTGGTCGTTGCATCTTGTTGTAATACATTGATGTACTTCTCATCCTTCCTCCTCCTCCCCCTCCTCATTTTCCTCACAACTGCCCCGACACGGGTTCCAAGCGCGCTTGACCACATGATCCACAAATGCGCTCTGGTTCCCAACAGAAACGCAGCCGGCGGAGAACAGAAGAACACATTGAACAGATGAAGTGCTGCTATTGGCTGTTATTGGCTTTTGCGAGACATGCATTTGTGCAGATGTTGCCAGGTTGTTCCTGACGGAACAGACCGCAACAAATCGTGATTTAAATGTCAATAGCCTTTTCAAAGCGACAAGGGTCCTTGAAAACAGCCCCTAAACGTTGATAATATGTTTAGTCTTTCTTTGCCAACAAGGGTCCCTGAGAGCAGATCCGACCATTTGGCAAGCTCAGAATGCCAGATTTTGACACCTCTCAGGTAAGTGTGTGTTTTCAGTTCAGACTTGTTTTCCAGCCACGGGAGTTGTTAGGAAACACCATTTCAAGAGACACGACTTGGATGGATCGGTTTGACTCGCTCAGGGGGCCGTCTGCCGGCACACCGCTAGGACCAAACGTTTGGTTTGGGGAGGACAAGCGATGCATCCCTGTTTCGTGATGTTTGTGAGGTTGACGTGTGAGTCGGAAACTGACATTGCATGGGTTTGGCCAAGAGCTTCTAGGACCCGGTGGTAGGGACGCGGAAGCATCAATCATGGAGTTTGTTGGTTCCCTTTGTGCACCGGAGAACTTGTGCTTGCAAAACCAAAAGGGGGCCCTTGAAGACGGCAATGCCCATGTCAATAGAGGTGAAGCTCAACAAAGGACCTTCTTTTTTTTTTGAATGTCTTTCCTTCAGATCAAAGCCAGGTTCTTCGGAACACCCCGATTGCCGTACGGTTGTTATTTGACCTTGTTGACCGCATATACCCCCTTAACGCAATGATCACCCCCACTTCTTGCTGGTCCCCAGCCATCCAGTTTCTGTTTCGGTTTTTTGCCTGCTTTAGTGGTAGTTTCCATTTAACCCGCTAAAAGAGTTCGACTTTTAGCAGGGGATCAGAAAACGGACAGCGAAGACTTGCAGCCACCTCTCAAATGGTTTGGATTTGCGACTTTACACCCCAAGAGAGGACCCTCTAGACCACCACTCCCTGAGTTGGACTTGTTGCTGTGAAGACCATTTTAGTGGCAAATAAACATTTTTTTCTTTTTGGCCAGTCCATTCAGGAAGTGAGCAGTCTAATGTGCGATCATGTCCATGTGACAAAATGAAAAGCTCGGTTTTTCTGGCCGACCCACATGGGAAGTGAGAGCTCTGGATTGGAAGCCTCGAGTTGCCCGCGGATCCGCAGGACCTGGTACATCGGGAACCCCTGCGGGAGCTTGGGCCCCGCGTGTTGCCCCATTGGCTTCGGAAACTAGGTCCTAGGTGCTACATTTGTTTGTCTAATTTGTTGAGGGTACCCCTTTGTTTGGTTCTTTCAGGAGACCCAAAAGGAAAACAACCATCTTGGGGAACTGGGTAGGGTCAATCAGTCTATTGCTTTGCAGGGTACCCCGACCTGCGTTTGGTGGGTTTTTAAGGAAACCCAAGAGGACAACATTTTTGGTGGGTCCTGCTGCAGAACGCACGGGACACAAGCAGTCAAAATCAGCGGTTTATAAATTCGGGGTTACCATTAACGTTTTATTTAGGTCATTTAAATTGTTCCTTGGCCTACTTAGCACCCAGTCAAGAGATGCAGCTCCGTTCAAAACATAATTCTGTGGTGAACCCAAGGGGAAGCCAGATCTTTGGGGGTGTTCAATAGGATATGGTCTCAGGAAATATGATCAACAGAGTCTTTGCACATGAATCAATCGGCTTTTTGGCAGAGATCCATCGAGAGCATGTTTAACTGTTCGACCCAGCACGAGATGCACAGCATGTGAAACCGCTGCATACGCGACGCTCTTGGCCCCGTGCAAGGCGATGTTATCGAACATGCAAGACGAGGTCGAAAACGCATGGAACAAGCAACTTTGTGGTTCCCAGCCATCCCCTCAGGTTTTCTGGGTTTTAGTTGGGTTTTCGTGGTAGATTATATTTAACCCATGAACAGTGTTTGACTTTTAGCAGGGGACCTGAAAACGGACAGCCCAGCACAGAATCCTGGTGCAAGAGCAGGACATGCACGATTTGGCCTTGGAGTGGATTTCACGCTGACGTGTGAGCTTCATGTTTGGCTCGGGAAAGTTTGGTCAAGATCGCAGGCATTGGTAAGTTCTAGCCAAAAGGTGGATACTGCTGTGAACTCTCCATGGTTCAACAAGAACCTGGTGGTCTTTTGTTTCGCCAGCCAACTGTATTTTCAGTCAAACAATAGGAACCATCACTCTTTCTTGTTTTTGAAAGGAGGAAGCTTCAGGTTCCCCCTACACTTGGCAGTTTGGTTTGGTGGTTTGGATTTGGATTTGGATTTGAAGGGGTGTTTGGTGTTGCTGAGTTTCTCTGAGGGGCCACCCAACCTCTAAACCACTTTCGAGGGAAGCTGAGCTGGTCGCGGCCAATCCCTCAGGCACCGCCTCGTACACCAGCCAATCTGCCGCATGGATCCCAGCAACGCGAGCCAGCAGCTGTGTTTTACTGGCTCGGGCTCAAAACCGGGGGTGATCCCATGTCGGGTTTGGTTGGCAACCAGGGAAACCAACCTGTCGTGTCTGTTTCTTTTTCTGGGCCTATTTGAAGAGACATCCAAATAGCGCATACTTCTTGTTGGTTTCGCCCAAAGAAGCAACATGGGATGTTCCGTATTTGCCCAACAAATCTAGCACCCAGACAGGACAGTTGTGTTGGTGTGTTCCACGGAGGACGCTTAGATTTGTTCTGTTCAAGGCAGAAGTTCCGATTCCGGTGCCAAACATGACCTGGATAGATAACGCATGGGGCCAGTCTGAAGAAACTTGAGGGAACGGTTGGTATGCCAATCTTGGGATTCAGGACGTTGGCATTGGTTGGCTCCATCACACGCATCAAGGCACTTCCAGGAACCAGACAACTTATGTGCTGCACACCATGTTTCGGTCTCGTTTGCTCGCTTGGGACCTGAAAGCTAATCGTTCGTCACGTCCGACCAAGGCCTCCTACCCCCAACGTGAAGACGGACGCCTCGCCCTTCACCCCGGGCATGCCTGGCATGCTGGCGCCCTTCACCCCGGGCGCTGCACCCTTCACCCCCGGCGCGCCCCATACGCCCGCCCGCGGCTCCGGCTTCGGAGCCGCCTCGGCCGCGCCGGCGCCCATGACGCCCCCCAACCTGAGGGATGCGGTGAAAGCGGAGACTTGAAGAAAAGGGCGGCCGGTGAGCATGGACACCAGACCCAGGCGTTACGGTAATGTGGGGGAAGCCGAACGGAATCAACGATTGTTTGAAGAGAATGGGCATGCAGGCTTGCAGAGAGCAAGTAGATTGGCTTGATGGCGAGAGTTCCTGAACTGTGAGGTTGGGTCGCTTTTGGCACATCTTTGACAGAAGCCTAAAAGCGCAAGGCCAAGCGCAGCTGAAGTGAGCGTGGGTGACCTTCTTAGCCCGTTTTGGCCCTAAATGGTATTGACATCTTAGTAGGGACCCCTTTTACGTGCCCAGTGGACATAAATTCCAACATAAAACATGTCCACCAAAGCGTCGCCTAGTGTAAAAATCGTACTGAGCATGGGCAAATTGGAGTCCTCAGCGAATGCAAAGATCATCTCCACGTCGGCTTGGCCTTGCCAGGTGGGTGCAGGCTGCTTTCAGTGAGGTGTCAGGTGTCCTTTTCGGGTAGAAGAACAGCACGGCTTTCACTTTTCATCTAAGCAGTTTCAAGGCGGCCATCTATTCACTCCCTGTTGTGGGTGACCGTTTTAGTGTCAAATAAAAAGTTTGGCTACTTGTTTGGCCAGTCCACTCAGGAAGTGAGTCTATTTAGCAATGTTATCCCTTTTGACCAAAATGAGGACACGGACGGTTTGTCGTTGCTTCCATTCTTCGGGTTGCCCGGGGCCCCCGCAGGTCGTCTTTGACCAGGGCACCAGCTCGCTGCTCATCGCCACGGAAGCTGCCAAGGCGGAGAAAGCTGAGGACGGGTGTCCCCCCAGCCGAAGGCACTTGCTGCATTCAGCTGCATGCCTGTTTTACCCGTTTCCCAGGTTTGTTTGCTTTTTCTCCGGCAATTGCCCTTTAGTCTGGCCCAGAAACGGCGCCATGTGTGTAAAGCGGGCGAAATCCCACCTTGGGGAGGCAAACAAAGGGAGCACCCACTTCTTTTGGCATCCACTATTTTGAGACACACCCAGGACCCAACTGAAGCAATAAACCAACTGACCCCAACCTCCCCTTCGATGTCCGTGTACCTACCAGTATTTGGAGGGGGTTGGCTTTGTGAAAAAATGGCACAGCCCCGGCTTTCAGGGCAGAGTTTCCAGTCCAGTTCGGGACCTCTTACGTTTCAATTGTTGGCATGCATTGACCTTTGCCCCTTTGAAGTGCAATTTCTCTAAGCCCGCAATTATGGGTCCACCTGAAGAGAAGTAGATGCAACCCACCAGTTGGAAGGTCCCGGATCCCCGATTCAAGGGTTTTGTCCCACACCAGTGCTGGCAAGACGCAACGATAACGTTCCGCAGGAGGAAAGGGGCTCGGTGAATAGCGGCTTTTTGTGATCAACCAAGCTTGTCCTGAGAGCACCTGTTCTTGGGATTTTTCAAACGGGCCCAAAGAACAACCAACTTCTGTTGATTCCATTAGGTTTAGCCAAGCACAAACGGTTGTGTCTCAAATTGGTCGGCCCGCTTTTGCTTGGTTAAGGGGCGGGCAAAAGGAAGCCAACGACTTTAACGCGAGCCTTTTTTGGATAAACACCCCATTGCATTTAGTGGGGCGGATCTTTGCAGTACCAGTTTGCCGCCCTTTACCATTCTTACATTGATATGGATTTGGGCAGACCTTTGTAGAACCCAGCACCTTGATCAATATTCCGTTCGGCCCCCAACTGACCAAGGGTAACTTTCCCCATTTATTCGGACATCTTAGTTTTCCAAGCAATGGTCATCCCATGTTCTCTCTGAACCTTTTGATCAAGCCCCAAGTTTTGGCGATGAGACTGCCTTTGGCATGCGGCCACACCACCAAAAAATCCGAGGAGCCGACGCCGCCTGAGCCCGGACACCCGACTGCCTTGCCCAGGCCGTGGCCGAGTCTCCATGGCCCTCTGGGGTCATCTGCCCATAAAATTAGGGGTCATGACACCCCATGTTTGAAGGGTCATGGAGACTCCAGGTATGGATTTTTGATATGACTTGATTTTGAGTTGCTCAGATTTGGTTGGAGTTGTTATGGCTTTCTCCTAAAGTCCCGGGTTGCGATCTTCGCTCTCGCCGTTACCCTTCTGTAGCATGCATCTTGCAACTTTGTGTCCAATGGTAGTTCTGAGTGCTTCTAGTTGGGCTTGTTCAGTTTGGTAAAGCGTTGCGCTCGGGCTAGTGCATGTTGGGCTTTGTAGCTTGATCTAATGCGCAGGCGAGCAGGTTTCACACGCTTGCAATAGTTGAAGTTGGTCAATCCACGCCTTGTAAGGCCTATGAAGAGGTCACTTAGATCCAGCCTCCTGGGCTTGCAGGCATAGGTTAGCAGCTCAGTTCAAGTGGCCCTTCACATTTTGAGCGCAGCTTGGCTGCGCTCAATGGGGGTAAAGGGAGCTTGCCATGATGTAAGGTGCTTGGATCCAAGTCTTATTTCAATTTCTTCCAGTTGCTTAAGAATATGTCTTGGCTTCCCTTTTTCGTGTTGAGAGGGAATCTCTCGCTACTGGAGGGGCTTAAGCAAATGGACGATTTTTGGAATGCTGAATTTGCAGATTCGTTTGAATACAGGTTATCACTTATTGCCTGTTGGCAAGGGAGACTTAGTTGTACCTATTTGGTAGAATGTCACATGCACTTCTGCCAAAATCGCGCTCACCTGGGAGTAAAACAAGCTCACCATGCTAAAGATCCTTTACTTGGGGATTTCTTATTTCAGGTTTTGGAAATTGTGTAAAACATTGCAGATGCACTTGTGAGGGTCCTCACCCGGGACTTCTTGCAGGGGCCAGGCAGCAAATCCAGAGTTGGTTGGCAGTTCTCTGAATTCGCTGCAAGAGCCACGCGATTTTGTTGCCACTCAGGCCACAGCTGGGGGTCTATGAGTTGCACCAGCAGGAGCGATCAGACTGAAGCAAACAATTCATTCGGCCTTTGGCCGGGCAATTGGCTTGACCCATTCTGCATGACAAAGATCTGCAATCTACAAGTTCCCTTGGAAGCAGCAAGGGAACTTGTAGATATTCGTAGAGTGCAATGTCGAGGGATGTAACTAGGTAAGCACACATGTCATGGTAAACCCTCGCTTCTCTTCGGGTTTGCAGGGATTGTCATCAACTTTGTGTTTGTTTGATTGTTTGTTTGTTTGTAAAAAACAAAATTCGGGGCAAGAGGAACAATTATAGGATTCCTGAACCATGCCCGTGACCCATATTTGACCACACCGCACATATCATGTCATATCTTTTTGTGAAGGCACGTTTTTAGTAAATCAGTGTGCACAACTGGCCGCATGTCCGGTGGAAAGAACGCTTGTAACAAAAACGGGGGCATTGTTTGGATGGAGGTCGTTTATTTGCACCGGGTTTAGGCCCTGGTGTTCCTCACAGGCAAAAGGGTGTCCAGATCATTTTCGGATGCATTGGGTTTTCATTAAAATAATCAGAACAAACAATGGACAACTCAAGGTTTTTGGATAAACATAGGAATGATACTATTGGTTAATAATAATAATAGAAATAATCATAATATCATGAAACAAACAATTCACACAAATCCAATGCGTTTCCACAGATGCTTTTTTTTCTCACCCGATGCAAGGATGCCCGGGAGATTCTCTTCCAGGCATTGCGGCCCTGAGGCCCAGGAAGCAACTCCTTCGGGGACTGGTGGGGGATGAAGTCATTGGTGGATCCCGGCCATCGGGTTCCTTGGCTTTTTAGGTTTCTAGGGTTAGTCGTAGTTCCATTTGGGTGTGGGTCAAAATAGGTACCCACAATGGAACCCTGGTAAGTGGAAACATGGACCAACACCTGCGGTCCCCTGGTGGCTTAATTTTGACCCATACTCATTTAACCCACTAAAAGTCAGTCACTTTTGGCAGGGGCTCCGAGGGCAGCCCAGATGAATTCAGTGGTTGACTTGCCCTTGGTACCTGGTCCCGGGAGCCGTTTTACCGTGGCTTCACGCATCTCCGCGCCCACACAAAGGGTCGTGTTTCTTTGTTTTTTGTGAGGGTATCTTTTTGGGTTGGTGAAAGGGAGTCCAAAGTGAGGCCATGTGCTTTTTGGAGGTCGCCTATTTCGAGCCAGCTTTTTTTGGACGCCGAGGCCGCAGGTGCTGTCAGATGAGCCTGCGGGGCAGCTGCGTGTTTGCTCGCGCCACTCCGATGTGATCAACTTTTAAGGGGCAGAAAGATGCCTCGTTAGGCGCGTGCGCCTCGTAGGGCAGAGCGTTTGACTACGGGCTTTCTTTCTGCCCAAGGAGAACCGTGGCTCGATCTGTTTGAGAGAACGCTGTCTCAGTGTGATATGGTCGCCTTTGACGCGAAGAGAGTAGGCCGTTTTTCTGTGTTGGCCATGGCCCAGTCAAAGACAGATCTTGGAGCTGCGAGGCGCTCGCTAATGTGCCGGCGGACGTGAAACCTAGGCTCGTTTTTGGGGGAGCTTGCGGCAGTGTCCTGTCACGCCTTTTAGGCTTTTCGGCCCTGATATGTGATTTCGTCCCTGTTTGCAATTTCATGTTTTATGATTGAAAAGATTGAAGGTGATTGACGGCCACCAATTTGGGTTTTGGGTGCACCTAGTCTTCTAGAATCCGGCAGACATGGCATTTCTGATTTGGACACCGCTGAATTGCCAGTGTCTCTTTTTGTTGCAGCATGGGTACTTGTGGATCATAGCAACCGACTGCGAGACAAGATTGCCCACGGAGGCATCATAGTGCTTTCTGTGGGGGGTCCGTTTTATTGCTGCAGGGCAGTGACACGTTAAAATGATATACATACCAGGTGAATGTACACCTGCTAAGGGCTCTAAAGGGACCAGCTTTTGCGTCAGCCAGTTCATTCAATGTGAAATGGACAGTGGTGTTTTTCTTGTTTGGTCTCTTGGAAAAACCGCCTTGGAATGCTTTGCCGGAGAACGGGTCGATTGGCAAGGGGACCTTGGAAAAGTGTTGATTTGCACAAATCTGAATTTGTGTGTGTGTGTGCGCGGGGCTGCTGT